GGACCTTAATGCAAAAATTTCTCAAATATTGTTTGATCTATTTTTTTAAACCCCTCGACTAAAATATTTTAATGAAAAAACTATTCAACTAAAAATTTAATGGAAAAATCCTTTTAATAATAAAAAAAATCTATCTCCTTCGATAGTACTATCAAAATAGTAAACAATTGCTACCAAATCGATATTAGGTACGTATTGATTGATTGTTTCTGGTTTGTAAATGATTGTATCATGTTTCTAATATTGTTTTTAAAGCGTAAAAATAGTACAACCATGTAAAGTTCCCTCAAATAATCAAATGTCATCTTGTAGTTGTCGTTCATAACGCATTTCAACGTTATGTATGTTTCATGAACATTGTGGTATGAATTTTTTCTATAAAATCTCTTAAATGTGGAGTTTATACATAGATTTTTAATTGATTACATTGTGTTTTCAATGTTGTAAACAAACATTGCATTCTCTAAAAATATATGTCACTTTTTAATAAACCATGCCTTATAATATCGATTTAATAGCGGTTATTTAGTATTTTGACATTACCATAGAATGAGAGTTATCATTAATAAAACTTTACTTGAGGGATTTTTTTTTATCAAATTTTTAGTTAAAATAATTTTTCATTTATATCTTCTAGTTAAAGGATTTTTATATTAATAATTGATTTGAAGGGTTTTATTTAGATCAAACAATATTTGAGAATTTTTTTTATTAAAAACCAAAAATAAATTATCTACCCATAAATACATGCCAAATTAGCATGATCATATGGGCTTAATTAATGGGTTCAGACTTCAGTAACACAAAACTGTATAATAATGATAAAAATGAATAGTTTTGTTTCTTATAACAACAATAGTACTAAAATGTTGACAAACAAAATAAAAATAAAATAGTAAAGAAGAGATAGGGCATAAATAGGTGAGGTGGCAAAGAGGTGGGGTGGTGCAGTTTTGTTGATCTCAACGCATTGTGTTTCCCCATTTTTTCATTTGTACTCTTTCTCCTCTCTTTAACTCTCCACTCCAATTTCTTTTTTAATCTTCTCTTAATGATAATATAAAAACACAAGAGTCTTTAGAACCACTTAAACCCTCTGTGTTCTCTCTTCCTTAAGCTTGAGTTTAAATCAAGCAAG